TATATATATATATATATTCACACACACATACATACATACATTTTTTATATTTTTATTTACTGCTTTGGATTGTTTGAGTAGTATTCTAATCCAAAATGCAGATTTTTTTTTATATGGGCAAACTATATATAGCGAAGTGGTGAAAGGCCCCCAAAGCACACATTTTCTGAAAATGCAGGACTTCTAGAATTGAAAGATGGGGCACTGATAATTTTGTATGTTGTACAGATGTTAATTAAAATGATATTATTGATAACATTTACACTATTTGCATTTGGAGAAGTGATCCGGCAGTGGGCTTGTTTTAATTTCTTTCATTGCAGTAATGTATTCTGTACATCTTTGGCTAACTAAGGGAGAGGGCTATCGATGGTTTGAATGTGATCTTGGCAATTAAAAGGCTAAAGGTATTTAGCAAACACCCAATGTATATGATTTGAAATGTAAACAAACTGTACAAATGCACATCATACCATACTCTTGTACAGTATATTGTTTATAGCCTGTAGAAGAAAAAAAAAGAGACTGAAAAAACAAATTTGTTTCAGGCATTGCTCGGGTGGTAAATGAGATTAAAACTGCTATAGGCATTGACGAATGATATTTTTGTAAAAAAAATACTTTAAACTTAAATGAAGTTCTTACCAAAGATTGTGGTGAGGAAGGCAAGAAATGTACTACCGTACGAATGAATGGGCAGCACAGCCACAGTAAAAAAAAACAGTGCTTCAGAGTGCAAGCTGTTATATGTGTAATGAAGGTTAATTTAACAATGATAAAACCTCCGCCACTTCATTAAAATTAATCTCTTTTAAAGTCTGGTATAGCATTTATAACAGAAGCAGTATGCATTCCATCCCTCTGCTAACCTGCACATTGTTTGTATCCACAGATAGAAGCTGCTCTCAGTCGAATGCCAAGTGTTGGTCATAGAATGAGCATGCAAACGAGAGTTATGAAGGTAGCATTTAATAAAATGTGTCCTTATAAATAATAGTTACAGTGAAGGTCTGTACATAGGAATACCATTCTCCATCCAAAACAAATGAAAAAGAAACCTCTAACCATTGGAAAAAGAAGAGAAGCACATCTGTCATTTACTAAGTATATGTGAATTCCAGCAACATACAACAGATTTTCTATGTTTCTTGTCTGGGGCTGTATAAACATGGCTAGACATGTTTCAGTAGTCTTCTAGGAACTGGCTAAATGCCCTATGAATTAGGCTGGTAGAGCTCGGCTATGAATATATTTTTTAACTGGCTACAAAGGCCTGGTAACATATCTCCATTTGCATATCCATACTCCTAACATTGCCATCCCTCCATTGTTCAATTACGGTGTCCTCTCAGTGATAAATGATTAGTAACTCATATCCCACCCTGTTTATTAACGATATCGGGGAGGGAGTAAATAGCCATGTTTCCCTGTTTGCCGATGATACTAAAATTGGGAGGGTAACAGGCACGGAATTAGACACTACAACATTACAGGAGCACCTGGATAAAATAGGGGAGCGGGCAACTACATGGCAGATGAGGTTTAATGTCGATAAATGTAAAGTAATGCACTTTGGGGTTAAAAATAGGCAAGCAGGATACACATTAATGTGAACTCCACTAGGGAAGTCAGAAATGGAAAAGGATCTGGGGGTCATTGTAGACCACAGATTGAACAATAGCTTGCAATGCCAGGCTGCTGCAAACAAAGCGAGCAGAGTACTGTCTTGTATTAAAAAGGGAATGCACTTTAGGGACAAATCTATCAGTTTGCCACTTTATAGATCACTGGTTCGGCCACATCTGGAGTATGCGGTTCAGTTTTTGGTCACCAGTCCACAGAAAGGATGTCCTGGAGCTGGAAAGAGGCCAGAGAAGGGCAACCAAACTAATTAAGGGGATGGAGGACCAAAGCTATGAGGCAAGGTTACTAAATTTATACATGTTCACGCTGGAAGTAAGGAGATTAAGTAACATCAGCAATAAACCCTTTACGGTGAACTCCAAAACAAAGACCAGAGGCCACCACCTAAAATTGGTGGAGAAAAGATTTCAGCACAAGGGGCGTAGGGGGTTCTTCTCAGTTAGAGCGGCCAGGGTCTGGAACTCGCTACCACAATTTCAGCTGTGAGTGTGGAATCATAAAAAAAAACGTTTGGACGATTTCCTCAGGGACCATAACATACAGGGGTACAGGTAGACATAAGAATAAGATCACACATGAACTCATACACATGTAGATGCACATGCATACACGCAATAGGTTGGACTTGATGGACCTGTGTCTTTATTCAACCTCAAATACTATGTTACTATGTTACCCTCTACCTTACTATAATAGATTTGTGCTTTGGGACACAAAGACAAAAAGGTGGCTATTTCCTGCCCCACTGTTGCATTATTATGAAAAGTAGAAAACTAAATAAAACTATGAGTTTATCTTTTCCTAGTGTATGGCAAGACAAGAAAAGTTAGATATTGCTTATTCACTTTTATTCTTTGTTTTGCTCGGTAACATGTTTTCTTTGTTCTGCGGTATTTGTTCAAATCAATAGATGTATACGATAGACAATCACGCCTTGTTCACACCATGTGCATTGGGCTGCATTTTTCTGTACGCATACCATGCATGTGTGTGTGAGATGGTGTGCAGAAAAACGCAGCTCCAAGGGCATGATGTGAACAAGCCTTTACTCATGCGATGGCTATAAGTCAGTAGGAATGGAGAAAGAAAGGCTTTAATAGTATGATGAGTGACATTTGATATTCTTGTTTTTTCCAGGAAAACTTGGAAGATCGCCTGGAAAAAATTAACCGTGATCTGGGGTCAATCCGAATGACACTAAAAAAATACCATATTTTACCAACCTCTGCAAATATTTAGTGTTCTTATATATCCTGTGAACTGGCTTTTTATTTTTGCACTACTGTGAACTTATGCACTGACTTCAAGCATAATTACACTTTTTTTTTTATAAAGAAGAGTTGTATCTGCAAGGCTATGTTCTGCAAATATTCTTATTCTGTCATGTATAGTACCCCTCCTCCCAGCGGGCATTTCTACAAGCTTTATGTGTCATGTATGCACATACTGCAATATGATTTCCCGTGCACCTGCAATTGCTGGACAGTGACCAAACTGTAATTTCCATAAAATTTTCTATGATAACTGCATGCTTATTAATCGGTAATGCTGTAATGAACAAGCAAACTTTTCTTGACCTCCACACCAGTGTGTTTTAGGTGCAAAGCAGTGAAAAAAAATCCTGCTTGTAGCATCTTTGGTGCAGTTTTATCAAGACATTACATGGCGTTCAACAGTAAGGCATGTAAACTGCTTGTAAAATGCATGCATACAACGCAACTGTACTAAAACCACATAAGCCCTAATGCTGTTTTTTTTTAACAGTATTCCAGGGATGGGCTTTAAAATTTAGTTTTGCTTCAAAGTTTTTTCCTAAAGCGGAAGTAACAAAAAAAATGCTGGAGGGTAGGGATTTTTAGCAGAAGAAACATGCAAAGTCTCTTCTTCCAAACAAATGCTACCTCGCTCCCCCAGCTATTTTTATTTTCTGTGTACCATGCACTGTACACACTCAGCCCATTAACAACATCTCTTAAGATGTAACGTCTAAGTGCATGCACAGGAGTTACATCATCAGTGGCCTCCTAATGGCTGAAGAGGACTTCTGAGAACCTCAAAGTGTTCAGGCGGAGATGTCGGCGAGGAACAGCGCAGAGGATCGAAGATAAATACGACCGCTGGAGAAGGGCACACATTAGTGCAAAAAACAAAAAAATACAAAGTGGTTTACTTTTGCTTTAATTCTGAATAGAAAAGTATAGCTTTTTGTTGTTGTTTGTGTCACCCTTGCAGGCATATTGCTTTACTTCCAGTTCCAGTGACACCCAAATTATCAGTCAGAATAGAAAAACTGGTAAGAAATCATGCACTGGTTGGTCACTGTACAGCAACATATATTTTAGACATACAGGTGAAACTCAAATAATTAGAATATCGTGCAAAGTTCATTTATTTCACTAATGCAACTTAAAAGGTGAAACTAATATATGAGATAGACTCATTACATGCAAAGCAAGATAGTTCAAGCCGTGATTTGTCATAATTGTGATGATTATGGCTTACAGCTCATGAAAACCCCAAGAACCCCAAATCCACAACCTCAAAAAAGTAGATTATTACATGCAATCAATAAAACAAGGATTGTACATAGAACAATATCGGACCTCTGAAAAGTACAAGCATGCATATGTACTCAGTACTTGGTTTGGGCCCCTTTTGCAGCACTTACTGCAATTACTTTTGCACGATATTCTAATTATTCGAGTTTCACCTGTAAATACACCTATACACTAACTATGCCACATATCTGTTTACATACCTTTGCTTATATACCAGAAACTGACTCCTTTCAGAAGCTGACTCCTTTCATCTGCTGTCTCCCTTCAGCATCCCACTGATTTACATGGATCAGATGATTTCATCCTACTCCGCTAACACCAGTGCGAGGACTTTGGTTACCTGGAACTGCCAAAAACAGGGCTTCCTATTTACTCTCTGGTGTTGGGAGAATACGGACACTCTAAAGTGGAGTTTTGCTTACAGTTTCTAAGCCTGAAGGCTTCAGCCTCTCAAATTCTATACTTGTCCCCAGGACACCGCAGCAGTGCACGCTCTTTTATTTTCTCACAGAAAGGAGTAGTCGCTGAAGCACATAAGTAGGGTCACTAAGGCCTCATTCACACTGTCACGCCTGGGTTTTATGTTGTCAACTCGCAGGGGATGTTATCAAATCCCACTGTCCCATGTTTAGATGTGTCTGCTGTAAAGCAGGTTTAGCTGTGCTTAGACACATTTACATGGATGTGTTTAGAGTTTATATGTGGATCCTGGGTGCACAAAATTGTAATGCAGCTAAACTAGCTGCACCTAAACTCTTTGAGAGCTTGTTCACACCAATTTGAATGCGTTCCAGCACGGTTAGTTGCTGGAAAGCACTGGATCGTATAAAGTAAGCCTCTTTTATTTCTGGGGCGGGGGGCGTGGTGGTGCATTCAAGTCAATGGCACCGCAGCCACGCCTCCCACCTCGCAGTGTGATCGCCCACAACAGAATACGTGGCACAGCAATGCCCGCAGTCCGGTGCGATCGCAAAAAATAGTTCAAGCACTAACCATGCTGCAACACACTAGAATTGGTGTGAACAAGCCCTGAAGTATACTATTGAGAAAGCATTAGGTGTGTGTGTGTGTGTGTGTGTCTATGTATGTATGTATGTATGTGTGTGTATATATATATATATGCGTTTAGAAATGTCCTTTGTTAAATGGGGCCTTACCTGTGCTTCAGTGAGGCGCTCACAATACATATACTTGCGCTTGAAGATCAGTTTGGGAATTTTTGAAGGAAGGCTTTATTGACTTTTCTACTTCACCTTTAGCACTTTTTACCTCAAATACATATTTTTGTTACATTGGATGAAGAGTGAACTGTCGATTTTTATATTTTAGTATTAAACAGGCCAAAATGTTCGCAGCATGTTGCTGCAGTGTATGCTTAAGATGCATTTACCGGACAACCTCTTTGCCCTGGCATTATTCCAGTTTACTGTCTGGCTGATTTTATCACGAGGGTAAAATGTCACTGGGCTTCCAGAGGAGAGCTTCATGAAACAGCCAGCTCGTGAAACATTGTTTTAAATATGAAGTGTTCATGTACCATGTGTATGGGTTTGCTCTGTGTTGAAAAGACCTTCAACGCTATGCTGGGCAATGCATTGCAGGCGTAACCTTTGTTCATTCAGTTTGATAAGTGCTTTGTAAAATAAAGTAAATATATATAGATATATATCTATATATATCCAGTAATGTGACACTTTGGAGAAAGGCACAGAACAGCAATAAATATTTTAGATGTGTTCATTCCTGTGTATTGCTTCTCCATTTGATATGTATTGTACTTGTTAAGTTTCGGGGGTTTGCATATGAAATATGGGCGTTTGCCTAAGATGTAAGGTTTTAAAAAACAAAATCATGTGAAACTTTAGAAATAGATAATGAAGTCTATATGGACTGTTCAGTTAAGGCACCTTTCAGACAAGAGGTATGATCAGGTCTGCCTGTCCATTTTTCAAGAGGATCTGATCAGAAGCTCAGTGTTAAAGTGACATTAAACCCTCAGATTTTTTAACATAAAAAATACTGTAATGTGCGCCTTACTGTAATCCATGGTTGTTTCCCTTCTCTTTGCTGCTCTTCCTTTTACAGGTGAAACTCGAATCATTAGAATATCGTGCAACGTTCATTTATTTCACTAATGCAACTTAAAAGGTGAAACTGATATATGAGATAGACTCATTACATGCAAAGCAAGATAGTTCAAGCCGTGATTTGTCATAATTGTGATGATTATGGCTTACAGCTCATGAAAACCCCAAGAACCCCAAATCCACAACCTCAAAAAAGTAGATTATTACATGCAATCAATAAAACAAGGATTGTACATAGAACAATATCGGACCTCTGAAAAGTACAAGCATGCATATGTACTCAGTACTTGGTTTGGGCCCCTTTTGCAGCACTTACTGCAATTACTTTTGCACGATATTCTAATTATTCGAGTTTCACCTGTAAATCTGTATCTGTTCTCATGCTCTGCAGAACTTCTGTTTTGCAGCAGACTGCCTTGTCTCAGGAATGGATACACGGTGTCAGTGTATAGGTTTGTATAGGCTTGTAACCTGAGCCAGCACTACAGGAAGAGGCCCTGAGCTGAAAAGGAAAGCTCTCCCCAAGCATGAGAAGACATGAGGATTTAAAAGGAAGAGCAGCAAAGAGAAGGGAAACTACCATGGATTATAGTAAGGCGCACATTACAGTATTGGTTTATGTTAAAAAATCTGAGGGTTTAATGTCACTTTAAGTCTTTGGGCAGCCAAAATGTGCAGCTGTTTACATCCAATTACCCCCAACTCTATCTAGGTCTGGAAAACAAAAAGGAACAGAGACCTAATTGTGATAATTATCTGATGTAAATGGACACATGTCCACTGACATCAGACTCCCCATGGACCTAACATAGGTCCGGTAAGTTGTTTTTTCCCCCCTCTGTAAGTTATTCCTTCCATACTGTTCTGAGCCTGTGTGAAACGGGCCTAGATTGGACTGTGCAATAAAATGCACTGTCTGCTTAACATATTAGGATTCCTCTACCATTACCATTCCCTGCTTTAAAGTTTAAAAAAAAAAAACCCTGTATGGAAAAAATAGTTCTACCCCCCAACTTCTGTAATGCAGAGGAATGCAGATTACCTGACATATTGGGAGATGTTGCTCTAGCACAGTGCAACAGTATGTTCTCAGGAGATTTGGGCTACTCCGTATTCTTCAGGAACTTGCCTGGTGGAGTGAGACCTTACCCTTGTCTAGGTGCTGCAAGTGGAAACCAGGGATAAGGAATGTACAGTATAAAAATCTTACCTAGCAGCATGCCGTCCTCTTCGCACCAAATTCCAATATAAAATGGTGGACTGTGTCCTATTGGCAGCTAACCAAGCCATGGCTCACTTGTATTCTATAACGTACATGCATTTTAAACACGGAATTAATGTGTTTATGTATATTTACAGACTCCCATGATAAATTCCTTGGATATACATTGTTCTCCCCTGTCTAAACCACTCGATACTTACTTTAACATGAGCTATTTAGTCTATTGTGTGCAGGTAAAGGGCTGTCTAGACATGTAAATTTTGTTTAGTTTCCAAATGGATATTCATACAAATTTCGTTAAATTTGGACATTCTGATGCATCCAAATTTCTGAATTTAAATTTGTCCGAATGTGAACGAATCCATCCGAATTTCATTCAAAACGGAACTAAATCTGACATGTGACTGTTCTCTGGCCAATCAGATTTTTTTTGGGCTGTTAGGGGTTGCATTACAGGCACGGCCATGTTACTTCCTGTTGTGGATCGTTACG